ACATGCAGTTTAATCCCTTGATACTGGAAGCTGGGATCTCCCTGACGCCAACCACTTCTCTCAAACACATCACCGCAAATTAGAGGCAGCCCAAGCTTGTCATTTGCAAAAGGAAAAGTGAAGAGGGGCAAACACTCTCATATAATGGTTTCATCCTGCTTTTAAAGCTGCTCATTTCAAGCTCGAAAATACCCAACGTTAGTATTACTGGGGACCAATGCGCAGTTTTGTATCAGAACAGTTCCAGGAAGCGTACCACAAAAGCAAGCTGTGGAAGTGTAAGATGTATTAGTAGAAAAATGAACCAGGTTGACCAAGTAGATCATTTTCCTCTCTCTGCTTCACATAAATCTTATGTCACGTACATAGTCCTGAAGTTAAATAATTTTAAAAGGTCAACAGAGTACCGGTATGCGATTATAGTTCTAAAAGATGTTTATTATTAAAATCTTCAGCTGTTCTAAAAGCAAGATAAATGGCTATTCCTCACAAATTACAGTAAGTGAATTCATGTACTTTAGAATACAACTCTCTGCTTCCTAGGATCATGGTGTGGTATGGCTTTTTTTTTGCTAAATAGTCAGAAAATGAAGAAAACTATAGCAATCTGATTACAAATTAATAACTGTAGGTTGACTGGATGGAAGGAAAACTATTTTCCCTTTGATTTTTGTTAAGGTATATTTTTAAACGACATACTAAAAGCTAATTTCAGCATTTTTTGCTTTAAGCTGCATTTCTTATGGCAAATAAGTAACAGTTTGCATTACGCGCTGTGTAGCAGCGCAGGCCGAAAACGGCATGTCACAAACTAATGCTGTTTCACAGGCCCTGATCCAAAATGGGAGAAGGGGATCAGAAATTGTGGCACTGCTCCACCAGGCAAAGCTGGCCGAACTGATAGAGAATGTCAACGCAAACCGGGCTGTACCAACGGCTCTTCAGCCTCAGTGGATGAATGGAGGTACAACAAATAAATACGTTCCTATAACCCCCAAAGGAACTTCAGCGCGTCTTTTGCACTGGTGTACATACAAATCTCCCAAATGCAAAAGTTCAGGGGGTTTTATGACATCAAGACATAGCAAAGCATGAAGTCACCATTTATTATTTTCTCTGACAAAAATATTAAATGCTAGAAAATCCCTTCAAATCTAAACACAGTATAACTGGTCACTTCTTTATGTTGCCATAATGTTAATAGCTAGGTACCTAAACACAACTGTATGTACTCAGTCATCAGTAACTACCTCTGTATCTAACAAACCTAAACGTAGCTATTATTTCACATCAATATTAGCCCTTACTGCTTTGAGGTATTACACAGAAGCACAATTAAGACACAAGACTCTCCTCTTTTCAAAAAATATACTCCTTTGACTATTTTCCTATCATCTAATCCATTCTATATATTCAAAAGCCCTGCACTATAAATGGTTTATTTTACACAAACCATGTATTTTCAAAAACCACCAGAATGCCTCAGGTTTAAAAAAAAAAAAAAAATCACTGTAAGGAAACAAAGCATTGCTTTTCCTTTTAGATTGTTCCAACTAACCCTAGGGGAGCAATTCCTCAGCACTCCAGAACACAGACACTTACACCCTGGCTAGCAGTCTCACCGCTCCGAAGCGGCAGTAGCAAGGCAGGGCACATACCAGAAGAGCCAACAGCTGACACTGGCTGGGGCAGCCGATGTACTTCTTGCAGGATCCCTCACTCCAAGGCCAGCAGAAAGAGCCGCAGCTGTGGCATTTCACAGAACAAAATGCACGGGAGGCTGAATTTCTGTTTGACATTAGCAAACTCCCGCATATTTTGCCACTTCCAACTTTATCCCCCGTTTACTGCAGTCGGCAGTATAGTCAGCCAGCACCAAAGCTGTGACACTGAGCAGGACTGTGGGTGTTTTTAACTGCACTAAGAGGGAGGTATTGACCTTCATACGCTCATGAAGTGGCCTCATTCCTACACCCGCTTCTTGGTCTCCTTTTGTTTCTCTGAGCAACCTTTTCTGACAGGTTTTCCACCAGGAAAACAGGAATGAGGTTTTACCTTTCAACACTTGTGAAGAACCAGGGCTATTCTCAAACTCGAGTCATTCTGTGTGACTCGTCTCCCTGAGATAACTGGAGTTACGAGGGTTCCTGATAGTTTCTTTTAGGGCCTTGGAGATGTCTTCTCTAAGAAGCCATGGTGTCCTTTCCACCACTCCTTCAGAGAGAAACAGTTAATACTTAGACAACTTGCTCCCTTCCCACTGCTGTATGGCTCCAAATTCACATCTTAAAAATAAAAAAGTGAACTTTGCAGTAACTCAAAGGTGTCCGCAGTGATTCAAATGAGTCTGTGTGTTACTGCCCCAGACCCCAAGATACTCCCAGGTGTTAGAAGTCAGCGTTGTGCACTACAACAGCCATTGCACAATGCCTGCAGACGCTCCCACCCTAGGGCCGTTCTCCACTACCCAACAGCTAGAAGGAACGACTGTGTGTTTGACACATGCAGTCTGGTATGAGAAAATGGTTTAGTCCTGAAGTATTGCAAGCGCTTGGCTTGTCAGTTCTCCAGTAAGAGAAGTGTTTTGACCTACACAAATGTCACACAGGTGTCAAACCCACAGGGTCCCCCAGATGTTGGAGCTCCAATACCTCCTTGAAGCACTGGCTCTGATTCCAGTGGGGTCCCAACAGCCAGGCTGCTCTCCACAGCTCCCATAGCCAGAGCAAGGGCTCAGGGCCCGCTCCATCCCCGATGACAGCTGAGACACCCGACAGCCTTCCAATTAAGCCAGTGACAAGGGTGCACCCCCGTGCCTTTAGGTGGATTGTGCAGGTGTCACCAACTTAATTGGAAGGTGGCAGGGCTGCACAGCTGTCAAAGGACATTAATTTGGCCTGCAGCATTTGCATTCCTGGTAGCAATGACAGAGGAGAGTGAAAGATCCCAGGTTGGCTGTCACAGCCCAAGCTGAGTTTGCAGGTATGACAATTAAAAAAAAAAAAAAGAAAAAAGAAAACCAGGCCAAAGTCTGTCCCATGTAAGGTTCCACTCACAGCCACGGCCATCTGCTCCCCCCTTCACAAGTACCAAAGCTGCTGCAGTTCACACCAGCTGGTTCTGGAGTCCTCAAGGGATTTCACACTGAGAATTGGCTGCACTTGCAGACCCTGCCATACCTAGGACAGGGCATACAGAAGGTGGTTCTACACCATTTAGCTGAAGGCTGACACAAATACTGGAGAAATTCTGACCTGGGGAGCAGCATTTTTCAGCACTGCACGAAGTAGCCCCTTCTGCCTCCCAAAAGGAGGATAAACAACCCACATACTGAACTTGAGTTATCCTGGAGCAGGAGTAGGTGGAACAAACATTTGTATGTTTAAGAATACTAGTTTGAAATCAAAATGCTGAAGAAGTTGAGGATCCCTATGTTTTAAATACAAACTCTTGTAACTGCAATCAGAAAGCTTAATCCAGTTCAACATTTTATGATGAGTCAGCCTCCCTCTTTCCTACTGAAAGTTACTGCACAGGGCAGGAAAGTCCAGACCCATCCCACACCACCTGAGGTGGGGAGAGCCCTCATACCTCACATGCTTATCACACCTGGGGCAGACTCACAAGTGCCACTGTGTATTACAAATTCACTCCAATTTTAATCCTCAGACATGCTTTCCTTCACAACACTGTTTTCATTGCTAACAAAACAAGTTTTCAACACTTCTCCACTCCCCCTCATATAAATGGCAATTTAAAAACCAAAGAAGTTGGAATTAGAAGAAAACCCTCAAATTACTTGATTTCAACTAATTTTATAGTCAATTGCTATGATTTAGATAGGATCCCCCAAACATCAGTGCTTAAGATTAGTCTGAGGTTAGTTGCCAGATCTGCAAACATAACCTATTTTTGCTTCAGCCTTACAGCACGACTGCACACAGCTCCCATTCCCAGAGAACCCATTTCAGCAGGAGCTGCTGCACCTTCTCTTTGCCAGGAGGACCAAATTTCAGTGTATTCTGGGGAGAGGAAAAATTGAAATCTGACAAAATATGTTAAATCCTAGAATGGTTCAAGTTGGAAGGGATCTTAAAGCTTATCTAGTTCCACCCCCCCCGCCACAGGCAGGGACACCCTCCACTAGACCATGTTGCCCAAAGCCCCATCCAACCTGGCCTTGAACACTTCCAGGGAGGGGGCATCCACAACCTCTCTGGGCAACCTGTTCCAGTGCCTCATCATCCTCACAGGGAAAAATTTCTTCCAAATATCTCATCTACATCTACCCTCGTTCAGCTTAAGGCCATTACACCCCTTGTCCTGTCACTCCCTGCCCTTGTAAACAGTCTCTCTCCACATTTCCTGTGGGCCCCTTCAGGTACTGGAAGGCTGCTATAAGGTCTCCCCGGAGCCTTCTCTTCTCCAGGCTGAACAACCCCAACTCTCTCAGCCTGGCTTCACAGGAAAGGTGCTCCAGCCCTCTGATCAGATCTTGCTATAAATTCCACATGAGATTAGCTTTCCTAAACTGAAAATGCTGTCAAGTCATATTTTACTAAAAATCACTACAAATCCAGAACAGTACAAGGTAATTTGACCTACAGTGTCACCTGTGCTGTTATTTGTGTTGGTCTTAAGCTGTATCCAAACATTGCCCAGCAGGGTAATTTCTAACTGGCCACAGACACTTCACAGGACATTACTACAGTTCTGACCAAGAAATATCTAGGAGTATGTCTGAAGAATGCATTCTCCAGAATTCCGCATGCATGTCATTTCTAAAACAATTTCCTACGTAATTCAAACAAGTTAGCAAGGGATCAACATTGTGTGCATTATATTGATGTCACCACAATTGTGCTGCTTAAGCATCTGCACTTTAATATTAAAATATTAAACTACTGCCATGTCAATAAAACAGCAGTTTAATGGCAGACTAAATGGCTTCTCATGTTTTAATCAAAACAATAGAAATACCGACATACTGTGGCACAAAATTAGTATAAATAGACTTTATTGAAGTCAGTACCTTTGTACTGAAGCTGAAGATTGTGTCTACATAAGCACAAGTTGTAACATTTCACAACTTCTAAAAGGAATGTCAACAATTACAACGATCATGCATACCATGGTCGATAATCACATTTTTAGAAGCATTTTCAACCATTTCTAAAGAAATGCTTATAACATTGTTATATATAGAACTACTTTCAATAAACTGCAAAACATTGATCAGCTTTTCCAGTATGAGCTACAGTGTCAACACAAAAGGGAGGCATAAATGTTTAATTTATGAAATCAGAATGGAATATTTACTGTAAAGAAAAATTAAAAAGCTTTCAAATAAAGGCCATTATTGAACCAAAGTGAAGAGCACAACTTGAACTGTGAATCCTTTCATCTCTTAAAGCTGTCCTCTGAATAACTTCAGTTCAAAGCATAAATTCAGTACTGTGAGTATTCCTTGGACTGAAGTTTGGCAATGATGCGATCCAACTGTCTCTTTGCTTCACACTGTGGAAAATTGCTCATGTCATAATATTGAGGGGCAATTTTCACCAGCCTGTCAAAAAAGGAAAAGTTTGTTACAAATACTCAAACTTTAAGATACATCCCACAGAAATTCTACAACTGAAGGAAACAAAGATTATCCATTATTTTCAGCTCATTCTGGGATGCTAAGATTAATGAGAGTTCTCACACATGCAGACACATCACCTGTTTACCTCAGCCCCATCCTGTGCAAGCACCCAAGCACGCACTGGAGTCTAGCAAGCTCCTCTCCTGGTCAGCCAACATCCCTTACAGGCCCGCGCTCTGCTTCAGTACGTGCCGCAGTAGCCAACAGAGTCAGACCTGCTGCTTAACCTCAAAGCCCTCAAGCCACAAAAGTCCACCCAAATACCAGTTCGTGCAAGAGTACAGGTCAGCCTCAGCTCTCCTAAGCTTAAAAATGCAACCAAGGCCACAGGACCCTGCTGCTTTAGGCTACACAGCACATGTTCAGAAAAAAATTTCTAAGGAAGAATTCAAACACTCATTTTCCATTAAAATACTATGGACAAATATATATATGTGCTATGTTTTGCGGCTTACAAATCTTTAAACTCCTTCTGTACAACAGCACAATTTCAACAACAGTTGCAGAGCCTCCTGTGTTCCCAAAGCTTACAAATTCACAGTTTGAGTACCACCTTACAGACGGGCAAGACAATTCAGATCTCTGCTTGTCTACTGAGGATCTGGCCTCTAATTTCCTTGATGTGCGCTCTATTAATAAAAACTACTATAACAAGGCAGGTTGTACCAGTATTAACACCTCTTTCCTTCATATTTTAAGAAAGCACTGAATCCCGTTCAGATCCTTCTGGAAAAAATGCACACAATCGCTGCCAAGGGTGATCCTAGATCTTGAGGAGAGAGGCATCTACTGTATCTCTTAACTCAGGTACGCAAACCTAGCATCTCCAGCAGCTCCTGCGCAGCAGGCTTACTAAAGTAACTGGGTTTAAGTCAAGCACATCTCTGTACACTGCGTACAGAGCCTGGGCACCTGAGTTTTAGGCACAACTCCCACAAAGAGAAAGTGCCCGAAAAAAAATCTTTAGACATCTACAAGATCTTCAGTCCATGCCATTGCTGTGCCCCAAACCGTTTTTAATAATACTAGCTTCAGGAAAAGTGAAAGGAATTACCTCAATTTAAAGAGGGAAAAAGGAAAACAAGAGCTTTACAGTAGGTCACGACCACGTTAAGACTTTTGGCTTACCATTCTGGCTTGATGTCTGTACATGTCCGGATGTAATTCTTCGTCGTAAGGACAAACTCATTATAGAGCACCCATTCCGGTTTATGATCAAGAACAGTGGAAGGATGCAACTGCACCACCTGGTTATCTTTGACTGTTAAGTAATGCCCTGTCCGTTCCAAATGTGCCACCTAAGTAAAAAGACATTCTTTCATTACCACAGGCAATTTTTAAATTAAGTGATTTCAAGCTGACTGTTGCGTGTTCTATACAAAATATACCATCAACTTTCAAACCTCATCCAAATTTGGCACATTACTTGACCACTTCAACTATTCAGGTTTTTTATAGACACAATCAAGATGCCAGATGTTTTTGCTAACTGCCATGGTAAGTGTATATTCTAATATGCAATTCCAGCAACATACAAAAATAGTTATCACCCAAAGAGAAGAATCATTATTAGAATAACACAAATATTACCGTGTTATTCCAACAGAAGCATTGGAAGGGAATATCTATTGGACAGGTTCGTAGCATCACACAAAGTCAACTGTGGTCTACTGCAGACATCTGCTTCAAGCACTTCATTGCAGCAGCTACCATGGGACCGGTAACCACAACATTATCCTTTCACATTTTTACTAGTGCAGCGTTTCAGTACTCATTTTACAGACGCACATATTATTTTGCAAGTCCTCTCACACAGTGGGCCTGAAAAAAGTATGTCAGTCCTTACAGTAAGAATGGGAAGTTTAGTATGTCAGAAATAAGAACAGTCTTGTTACAGCACAGGCTTCAGAGCTGAAAATGTAGGTTCAGCAACACACTTCTGCTGTGACCTTGCTGGAAAATCAATTAACCTCTCTCCGACCAAGCTGCTTGCTCTCTGAAAGGGAAGAATGCCTGCCTCGCTGAGATGCTCTGATACCTAGCTCATTAAGATTTGGTAAAGCAGACAGTTATCCTTAGAAGGACACCATCTGTAAGGACAGTTAATCTAACAGAACAGGTAACTAAAATTAACCTTTTGATACTGGCAATTCAAGATGACCTCAGTACTTATTTCATCACATAGGTATACACATAGAAAAATACTGTAAAAAGACGGTCAATGGCTGAAAGATGTCTGAAAGACATTTTTTAATCAGACCATCATTAGCTGCCTTCCTTTAATACAGGCTGCGTACTTCGTTTTCTTAATTCCTAGGTGTATCTCACCTTTTTCTTTTTTTTTTTTCCAGTCAAAGGTAAATTCCATTTATTAGATTAAAATCCCAGGATTTCTAAAGCAACAGCTACCTCAAATTTCAAGTCAGAGTATCTCCTTAGTAACAAATTTCTTATTTGGAGTGTGCTTCGCTTACGTTTTATGACATTAATATCCAGAACATGTTTTAGGAGTGGAATAAAGTATTTCAACAGACTACAAATCTTTTCACCCAAGATTTTAGAGATTACACTGCTACTTTATTTCAAGTCTGGGGAGCCAACAGAGGCTCTTTTAAATGGAGATTAACAGTGCACTGTCTGTAACGATTTAGGCTTAATTTCATCCAACTCAATCCAACATTTGCAAAATTAAATAGTGGTATAGCTGACTAGGCCAGTAACTTATCTATCACAGACCTAGCACAATCACAGCACGTATGTTGCTGTGGGATTATGCATATTTTTTAAAAAGGAAGTATTTTAAAAAGAAAAAAAATCAGTCACTTTTCAGATCAAAAGTAAAGCATGCATACAAGAATATTTGGGTGCTTTATCTGCTTCTGTACTTCCTATGAAAGGGCAGAACAATTCATTTATGTTTCATTCTAGAAAACAGCGTGCTGTTAAATTTAAATCAATACCATTTACCTTTGGCACCTCAGTCTCACTCAGATGTATTAAAATAGTAAAGTCTTATCATCTAGCTTTCCCAAATACATACAATTTCCTTTTCCATGTCATTTAAAATGCAGTAAAGAGTTGTATTTCTTGTTTACTTCGTATAATTCTGAACTAAGTAAGAAGATTCAGTTGGCTCTTAATTTCCAGGAAGGACAGGGACTGGAATAATCCCAATTAAGAAAAAGATGTTTCCTTAGAACATGGGTGTCAGGGATAAGTCACCTTTGAGTGGTTACATACTATTGTGACTTATTCAGATCCTGAGCAAACACTGAGCTACAGTATTTATCCAATTTAGATGTTTCTCTTTAAGTATGCGCGTTAGCACACATTGGTAAAGAATTTCAGGTTCAGTAATGGCAACCGTCTCATGAAATATGCAGTGAAGCTAGGGCTCTGCAGCAAGCGATGATGATCTAACCGTCAGCTACTACATCTTCCCGCTCCCTCCTGGCCCGAGCTATTTCAGCACAGCTGACAGAGCGCCCATTGTGCTGCTTCTCTGAAGGTGTAAGTGGCTTGCCACATCCCTATGCTAAAAGAATTCAGAATGGGCTGAGGCAAGCACCAAAGCTGACATAGGGGAGCGAACAAGGACACAGGGGAGGCAGCATACACATTTATACTCCTCTGAACGACCGGCATGCAGCCAATTCCAGTGCCTGTGAAATACAACGTAACGGTGGTTGGGCCAGATGTCCTCCAGAGCTCCCTTCCAACCTCAACCATTCTGTTATGTTTTTCAGAGTATAACAAGCATGAGCTTCCCCAGAAACCACAGAATAATACAAAGCATGTCTAGTAATTTTTTTCTTTTTTCTTCCAATGAGCAGTGGTAGTAAGCAAGATACTAGGGAACACACTGTCATGTATTAGTATAGAACGTTTGTGAGTTAGGCTACTTAAAGAATGGGACTGTAAATGGAGGGAAGCTATTATGCTATTGACAGCTCAACGTAAGGAGCTACACAAACATGACTAAAAGGATTATAAAGCCAAGCTCGCCCATGCATCTCTGCAACAGGTAACTGCAGCCTGAGAAAGCCCACCTGCTGCTGATTTACAGACAGTTACAATGCTTTTATCAACATGACAAACTCACACGGAAACAGTGGCCACCATGGCACATGCCACCACAGGAAGAGGTTTTAGTTCAAGTTCTCATTACAGAAGTTTCAAGGATGTCACAATTTTATTAAGACAGACACACCGCGCTCTGAAATTTTAAGTGTGTTGGTGCTTATTTATTATCTATCATGTCATTGACCCTAGAGGGCCCAATCAGGGGTCTTTAGTCAAACACTGTAATCCAAATGCACTTAAAAGGGCAAAGCAGGAATAGTGTCACAAGATCACAGAATCGTTTAGGTTGGAAAGGACCTTTAAGATCATCAAGTCCAACCGTTAACCTAACACTGCCAAGTCCACCACTAAACCCTGTCCCTAAGCACCACATCTACATGTCTTCTAAATACTTCCAAGGATGGTGACTCAACCACTTCCTTGGGCAGCCTGTTCTAGTGCTTGACAACCCTTTGAGTGAAGAAATCTTTCCCTTCACCAGCTCCGCTGCCCTTCTCCAGACACGGTCCAGCACCTCAATGTCTGTCTTGCAGTGAGGGGCCCAAAAACCGAACACAGTACCTGAGGTGCAGCCTCACCCGTGTCAAGTACAAGGGGACGATCACTGATCCAACCATTTTTAGATTTAAGGCTACAAATTTTGGCAGGCTAGTCTTGTCAAACAATTTAGAGAAAAGACTGTTTCTTGTCTGTCTTGCAGAAAAGTAATAGCTAGCATGCACCTAAGAAGCAATGTCAGTTGCTTGGATTTCAGAAATTTCTGCTTGCAGAACACACCACAGTGTTTCTGAAGCCATTAAGTTTTAAACTGTTCTTCTGCATTCTTAAAGAGCAAAATGAATAATATTAAACACACTGGTGACCACCTTCATGTCATAGGTTTATTTTATTACCATTGTGTTATTGTAGAGGCCTGATTATGTAAAGACAGCCAAATACACATCATTCTATACACAAAATAGCACCAAAGACTGAGTAGCAGCAAGAATGAGATTCTAATTAGCAGTACAATCATCTGACACCTGACTTTCCGTACAGTACAGGTGATTTCATTTCATCTTCTGTAGGACCCTGATATATCCTGTGTTGAACTAAGCCACATCTTCCAAAAAACAGTTCCAAGCTTGATCTGAAGACACCATAGGACAGTGGTGGCTCCACCATATACTGGAGTACTTCATTCCACCTTTAAACTCTGACTTACATTTGCAGCCATCAATTCTTGTTCTGCCATCACCACTGGATTGGAAATACAATGATAAAAATCTAAGTTCTTTAAGACAACTTGCAATAGCAGTCTCAAAAAAAATTGCTAAGAGGAAAATGAACCATCTTTAAGATACTTTGGCATTTGCTTGTCTTCTCCAATTCAATTTTCATAGAATCATAAGGTTGGAAAAGACCACTAAGATCATCAAGTCCAACCGTCGACCCAACACCACCATGTCTGCTAAACTATGTCCCAGAGTGCTCTGTCTACACTTTTTTTGAACACCTCCAGGGACGGCGACTCCACCACCTCTCTGGGCAGCCTGTTCCAATGCCTGACCACTCTTTCGGTGAAGAAATTTTTCCTTATATCTAATCTAAACCTCCCCAACACAACTTGAGACCAATTTTAACAGTTTCCTTAGCTGACTTCCTGTAGTACAATTATTTTTTTGCTTAGTTTTTACCAGTTATTTCCACTACTTGTCTATTAAGATTTTAAAAATTATAAGCTTAGCTCTTCTACTTCTGTTGAATAATCTATTCCTAGCTCTTGAGTTTTGTTGCCTAATTACGATTGTGTTGTAGAATTTTCCAATCCCTCTCCATTCTTAAGACAGCATATGTCTAGCACTGACGTATTGAGAAAGCAGTATTTCTCTGATGTATTTTATTTTCAATGAGCAGTTTCTTAGTGATTCTGCAAGCATCACTCTTGCTTTATTTTATATATGCTTCACATACTCTGTTTTGTGATACAGAAAACAGGGGACAAAAAATTTTTTTGTGCTAAGACACCTAACTTCTTGTCAGTACTTATCCTTCCAGAAGTTTTTCTACACACAGAATTGTTGGCAGTTTTAAACTCTTTTACTATTCCCTTTGCATGTCTATGACAGATTTACTGGAATTCAAGTTTGTATTTAAATATGAAGGGTAAAAAGATTATTTGTCATCAGCAGAAATTCCACATTTATCAGTCACCAACAGACAACTGAAGGCAGGTAAATTCACTAATTATAGAATTAGTACTATTTCAATAGTTAATACAGGCCCACACTGCCTGACATAAGCCACAAGTCTTGATTAGTACAGAAATTTCTACAGTAAAATTATAAGATTGACTTTAGCACACTAGGCAATTACCAAAGTAGAAAACAAGGCAGTCAATGAGAACTATTTCAGAACAATGGGTGCTACTGGCTACCGTTTTTTCCACTTGACACTGCATGTTTAAAGAGTTTGAAGAATCAACTTCTGCCATGTGTTGCCCATAGACCTTAGTACTTTACATGCAGAGACTATCTACGGTATGTGCGCACACTTTGCAAGTGCTTCGACTTGGAATTCCATGTATGTTCTGTACTAAGAGGACAAAGAATGATGTATGCATTTCATTACCCAGGTTTTCTGAACAAGAGCACCCAAATGCCAGAGCGTGAAGATCTGCTTAGAGAGGGTACAACGTGTATACAGACTACTTTAAGTATTTCAGCTGCTGGTAAATAACGTCTCTTGAGTTTTCTACTGAAGGTTACTCAAAGCAACATGGAATTCACGAGAAAAGGTTCAGAGTCAAGGTCAAACAAGTATCACACTACCATGGAGGTTAGAGTGAAAAACTCAAAATAAACTGGACTCGAACACATCAAAGGAGAAAAGAAACTGTTGAAATGGCTTTGACGCAAAATGCCTTCACAACAGGTCTGCCACAGCTATCTCTTGATTCAGCCCAAAAATTCAATTCAGCATTTTGGGTGAGAGGGGTGGTAAACAACCTATTGACCATGGAAGCCCAAGAAGACTTCTGGAAAAACCTTCATTTTCATCTGTGTGAGCCTACTACTCTTTCACAGCAAAAATATGAAGTCAGATCTTCAGTTCCTGAGCAATAGAGACCAAAAAGCTAGCTACACCAACAGTGCCATTCCACATCCATGGCAGGAAAACATCTATTAGAGGAAGAGTTTCACTCTGAGTAATGTAAACCAAACTGACAACCCACAAACTTCTAGGGACACGACCTCTTACAGGTCCAAATGAAGGAAGCCACAGGATACTCTGCCACAGTTGCACTGTTTGGCAATCAGACCTGCCTCAACCAGCTGGGGCCCAGCCAGGACTGTTGGGCCAAACTGTTCTTTGTCTTGCAAAAGATTTACAGAATTAAAGGTGTAGGTAGGAATGTATACTAAAGTGTCCCCCAAAAACAATGAAGAAAACATGTCCCAAAAGCAAGGGCTGAACACAGTGACCAGCCTGCTTGTCTGCAGGGTTACAGCAAGTCAGTCTTTAAAACCAGTTTAATATCTAAAAGCAGCCAACAGCTTTAATCTCCCATTTGCATTACAGTGAAATGCAGTTGCTGACATTGATATTCCTGTATTCCAAAAACCCAGAAACGTTTCTGCTACAGTCTGGCTGGCTTAGCCCTGGGGAAGGCACTGTTTCCTTGGAGAGGGGTTTAAACATACATGGCACCCAAGTCTGCACCCAGCCAGGATGTGGTAAGTGCGTGCCTGTCAAGCTGCTTGCCATTCTAAGCCACACAGCGCTGACCAATGGCTCTTTTTTCAACTAGTAAGCTTGTGTGCTCAAATACCACTAGAGCATAGGTCAAGTGAAAAATTAGGAAATGCCACGGGCACTGGTCAGCTTCTTAATAACAAGGTTATGTTCTCCACAAGTGAGACATTAGGCTCTAGCAAAGACATTGCTGAGATGCATCAGAACACATGTTTGCTGGGAAAAACATCACAACACTCCAGAGTCAACGAGGATGAAGACTCACTCCCATTAAAGTTTCTATACCCCAGGGTCTGCAGGAGCCAGCAAAGGGAGTCTTCTAGCCCCAAAGATGAATGCTGAAGAGAAACACAGCACAAAGGGACTATGCAAAAACAAAAGCCACCAAAACAAAGGAAAAACACAGCCTGCATTCTAGCTTGGAGGCATGCTCAATGTGAAATGCAAAGCAACCAGGAGGCAGCAGTGAAGACCAGCTTCCATACCATCCTGGTTCACGAGGCAAATGAATTGCAAACAGCATACATCTTGAAATTACAGACCTGCTCCAGTACTCCAGTACTTGTGACTCATGTAATTTAAAAGTGAAATATAAATATGGGAAAGTATGCATAAGAAAATACTCTCCTTCTAAAAGGATTACATGTAATTAATATTTATATACAACTATACTTTCCCTATTTGTATTACAAATAATTTAACTACATATTCTGCAGTTACTTTGAAATGTTTTAGGAAGTTACTTCCTCAGCTATTCAGAAGCTGGTGGTCAGTTCCTGGCTGGTAATGCCAGAACCAGTACTGTCAATACTAGTAAGATCGCCCACAACTTCTCTTCCAAATAAGATTTGACTAAACAATGTACTACTTGAGTAATAACCAAGCAATCTGACAAAGACTAAGTGGTAATATAGTTAGCCATATATAATTTAAGTAACATTCATAAAGTTTTGATAAATTATAATAACCATACTCACATTAAAGCCATGTAAACACTGAACTACGTTCCCTACAAGAACGGACACGTACCTGCATGAAATACCCAGTAACTAATGCCTTTCTTATGTTGATGTAATAGTCTCGGCTGGTAAAGTCTGTGCTTCTACGAGGCAAATTAAATCTATCCATGATTCGTGACAGCTGCTGGCGTACATTGTCTGCAGACATCAGGGACCTGTAGTTAATGAAGTTGTCATAACACCACTGAACCGACTCATGATCTGCAACATTAAAAAACATGAATCAAAAAATGAGTATTTCATCCAATTAGAGCAAGTAAATAAAACAGCAACTAACTGATTGATCAGTCAGATGAACCAGAAAAAAACATCCATAAACTTTTATAAATGACAACAGCTCTTAGTTTATTCAGGCAGTCTCTTGCATTAGATAACTTGCCCAAATTCTTTTCTATTCAGGAAGCATGTGGTCAAGATAAAAAAAAAAGTAATGCAGCTTCCCTCCCTCAACATAATATGCACAGATTATTGGTGTGGTATTTCAGCAAAACATCATTAAATTTCACCTATTTCGAAAAAATCACATCCTGCAAGTAGAAAAATCATCTTCCAAACCTGCAGTATAAAATGTAACTCAACATAAGGAACATTGCACAATCTTTAACTGTAGCATGCAACAAACACACAAGAAGGTTGTACATAATTATAATGTATTTTAGAAACCAAACCCTCCTTAAATTAAGCAGTCAAGTAACAGTTAAGAGCAATACAAACTAACCTAATACTAAGTGTGACACACCTCACAGCGGTTTAAGTAAATGTAGGTGACTGGTAAAATACAGCATGAGTAACAGAACTCAGTACTCTTTAAAAGTTACTGTTTCTACTGCTGATACGTCTAATAAGAAACCTGTTAGGACAGCAAGCCTAAGCTACTTTGTCAGGGTAAAAGCCCACACATTTAACATCAAGAAACCCAGTTCTCCCTACCAATTCTGTTACTTCTCAAGTGACACTCTTCTAAACTTTGTCAGTTTAATAATCCAACAAAACCAGCCTTAACAAAATTTTAAAAGTATCTCTTGTACAGAGAGAGACTAATTCTTAATTTGCATTGAAAAGAACGTTACATATTTTGAGGAAAGTTTAAGTTGTTTCTGTGCTTTATCTTACAGAATATATTTAACTGAAGTATGAATGCTGATGCTCTTGTACACTATACAGTAGAATCGCAATTGAAGTACCACAGCATGTTACTTTCTGCGCCGCTTAAACTGAGCACTTTGGATGACCTCTAACAGTTTCAATTTGTTCTAGATACAAACAGTAGCAGCATTTTGTCTTCTGATCCTGAATCCCAGAAATCCTACTCAAATTTCACAGTGAAACTGAACATAAGATTATTCCCCAAATAACTCCATCCTTCAGCAACCCAAGCAGGAAAGCAGTGGTGTCCAGAAACACACACACATAAAATGTCTGCAAGACATACGGGAACCTGTTAACTAAGAAACTAATAGAAAAAAACAAGCAACAGATGTCTCCAATTCACAGGTGTTTAGTAGAAGTTTCTCAGCTACTGTTTAAAACAGTTTTGAGTACCTTTGTTTAGACTTTTACTCTGAAGATACCCTTATTTTGCACAGCCACATAGTGATACAGTGCTAGAATGCTTCCATACAAAATTTCTAGATCAAAGCTGGAACAGAAAGGGGCACTAAGTTGTGATTTGTTTGTTGGTTTTGTTTGTTTACTCAGGGTAAAAGACTGTTCCTTTTTTGTTTGCTTACAGAAAAATGCAACTGGAGCATCTAATTTAACCTGGTTGGCAGTTAAGAGTAATCTTTTTACTTACCACCAGGATAAGTCACTGTTAAAAAAGTGTGCCACTTATGTAGTCATTTTTCAAGAGAACTCCTAGCTTCACCTGTTCATTCCCATCTTTTTCAAGCTGCTAAAATATACTGCAGCTATGCTGAGGAGGACCGTACATTTTCCCTAAAATCCATACACAGAAACGAGGTAAGTGAAATAAATATATCGTATGGCTCTAAGTTACTTTTGTTGATGCATCACCCCTTTGCCTCTCAATCCATCCCAAGGCCTTGTTACAGAATTCCTAACTATATTAAAAAGTTAGGATTAAAAAGGTTTTGGTTCTAGGAACATATCCTTCTCTAAATTCAGAGTATTTTCTGCACCGCTCTCCCTGAAAAATTATGAAGCAATTACGCAGCTTTTTCTATAATTAATGTCAAATAACAAACCTCCAATATTTCTTAATTACAGGAATGCTTACTTCCCTTCTGTCCAAGGTTATCCAGCACTGATTTAAAAGCCTGGCTTGTCTCCATACTCATCAGTTTATTACATGATCTCTTGGCTAGTTTTTTGGTTTTGTTTCTCCCCCAAAGGAAAGTAGCACTTAAATAGCTCTTTTAAATATGCAGGTTTTTAAGTATGTAAGATTAAAAGAGAATGACTCAAGAACAAGCCCACGCCTTTCAACTGTCCTTGGAACCCAGGAACAAAATCTGGCAGCACAAAGCATTACAAATAATTTTGCTAAAATGGGTGCACACTTACTTTGTTTGAAAGCGTGGTAGACATTCAGCAACGTCAAATGATCTCCATCTATGTGGGCAAACCTCATCTTGGCTTCATCTGCTGCTTTCTTTGCTTCCGTGGGGCGAACAAAACACTGTGGGACTAAACAAGGTTGGTATGGGCCCAACACAAACGCCCATATCGATGAGTCACGCATTCACAGATAGAGGAACAAGGCCTAGCTAGGTCAGTTCACAGAGCATAGGGCAGGGCAGGATGGCCTCCAACTGCATCTTGGACTGTTTACTACCTTGATTTGGTACATCAACACCTAACCACATCTGTAAGACAAGAGGGTTTCAAAGCTACAGAGTACCTGATTATTTTAATAGAACTATATGTAGGCATCAAAATCTCTAGTCTGAAGGCCATCAAGATTGCCTATGTATACTGGAAGGCTAAACAGATCTTAGTTCAAATCCCAGTGCTGATAGCTCTACCAGTGCCCCATGTAACAAAACACTAATTGTGAATTTGCTTTCTCAGAAAGCCTCTACGGACAGAGTGAAAAAGGTAATTCTGAAACTGTACTGCACTGGCACAGACTAAACAAACATGAGTTTTATCCCAAGTCTGCTACTAGACAGAACACCCTAGTAAAGTCAAGTCCTCTTCCCCAGATGGTATTGTTATCAGCACTGGTATACAGAAACATGTGAATGAAGGTATTAATAACTCTAAAGGTTGTGATGGTAGCGGTAGTGGTGGAAGGTTAAACCGTCCTTTGGCACTACTTGAAATAAAAAAATTAAAAATTGCAATGTGATGAGCTTTCTCTGTTACTATATTCTCTTACATAAATCTGAGTCAGTCTAACTTGAATCCAAAAATCATGTTTTAATGTTCCCTTTCCAAATACAGGCTACCAAAGACCACAAACAGTATTGCAGCCAACTTAATTCATGGTCTGTCAACATTCTTACAGGTTTGTAATATTGATACTAATTGACAAAATGTTGAAAAAAGTTCTAAGATATCTTCACTTTTAAGATCTACAGGAGAAAAAAAAAAATCAGTTTGGTTTTAAGTAATGTAATTTAAAAGCTTAAATTTCAATAAAATTAATGCTAAGTAAGATGCTACAAATCCTTTATCTTTTTCCAGCTGCTTGAGACTACAGTAGCCTTCTCATAACTGAAGCCCACCAATCGCAGACCACTTCTTTGCGCCTCATCTGTCCCTAACAGATAAGGGCCTTTTGTGGGGTGTTATGTGGTTTTATTTTATTTTTAAATTTCCATAAAAGCCCCAAAACACCACATTTCAAAAATATGCTGAATTGAATACTGGATGGAACTTGAGGAGAAAAAAAAAATACACACTGCAACAGTGAATCACATGGTAACAAATCAAGAAAGACCAATGCATTAAAGAAAATGGAAATGCAGGTGCAAAATAAACACCCTGTATTTTGGGTCCTGCATTTGAAAACAACAATAATATAAGGTGTATTTTAATTTCAGACTCAAGACTAATGAAAGCAAATTCCAAATTATTCTATCACTGGCTTAACTCACTGTTTTGAGTAAGTAACAGCACTTTCTACCCCACAGCAAGACACCACAGCTCTTATAAAATGAAGTACAATCATTTAATCTGCTCACTTATTGAATGCTATTCTCTGCTCTTTTCTGGTATTTATTTTCCATTCAGTCCAAACTATTAATACACAGATTGCTATCCAGAGCCTGACAGTCTTAAGGCACCATAACATACAGTCATGTTGCTGGTTTAAAAGAAGTGTTTATTTTTGGAAATAGTCCTCACAAATACTAGGACTATGGGGGTTTTTTTAAGAGCAGAATTTTAGTTACAATCCATACATTAACCAGCTTAAGTTGTTTGTTTTTTTTTTCCCCAAAAACTCTTAATCATGACATTAATTGTGCCTTAAAACAAAAAAGTATCATGGCCTAGGAAAAGGTAAATAGAAAAAAAGAGCAAGACAAATCAGTTGAAGACCACAGACAAAAATACTAGACTTACTGTTCTGTAGTAGAGCTTGGGGAGGGGGGGAAGGGAAGAGAAAGACAGGCACCAACCTACCACCACCTCCGCAATTAATTCTACCATTTAATTAAAAAAAAATTATTACGATTCTGCCCTGCCCATCTGCTCTGAGTCTGAACAATAACTCTGCAACAAACATTTTAGCTTGTTCTTTAAAACTTTCATATAAATATACTGTAAGACTAAACTGAAGAACAGATTTTACACTTAGCCAAAACATTTTTTCCCCCTACTCAAAGTTAAGCATGTAACCAGTACACCTGCATTGTGAAAAGCCTGGTAAAATAGCACACCCAAAGACAAAAAGAGTAGTTATGAGTAAGAACATCCCCATTTTCATAATAGACTAAATCTTGTTGCTTGTCCTATGACAACTAACTGTAAAATGCAGTCAGTTCTACATAACTGGGAAATGAAATACAAGGCTTGCTTGATAACATTTCTCATCAAGCTCTCTCAACAAGCAGCCCTGTTCTGACGCAGTGCTATTCACGTAATGCAGCAGCAAAGTACAGCTGTGCACACAAATTAATTCTTATAAATACATATATCCTCCTCCGAAGTTTCTTTCTTCCCTTTAAAAGCAAGGACTGTTCTTAAGCTTTGCCACTTAATCACTAAAAAAATGTATCATCATTTCATGTACAAGCTTATGTTTTAATATAAATTACACTGTAATCCTCTTGGAAATACTGGGATTTATCAAAAGTGCAGAAGAATGCACAATACAAAACAGATTTCACTGCCTTAAACAGGGTGGTTGAGCTGACATTTCTGGTCCTGAATATGAGCCTAAAAAGAAATTTCTGTTCCACTAGCCTCATTTTCCCCCTCCCCCCCATCAACTCAAATATATACACTTCTAACCAAAGTTAGGAGCAAACTGTTTGACTATTTTATGCATGTTAATTTCTTAATATTACTATTCATTACCTTGAACCCCATAACAACTGATTAAGCCCCTATATGAAGCTTTAAAAAACAATTCTAATTGTTAGAAATATATTTGTATTGTTTATGGCTTTGATGTGGAAAACTCAAATTTTCCCCAAACTGAAGATCTGCATTTTGTTTAGTATCTCTTTCACTGCTATTACCTGACAACATGGCAGTAATAGATAGGACCTCATTAGAACAGTTGTAGTCACAACTTGCAATAACCATTTTAGCCAGTTGTGGGTCCAATGGAAATTCAGCCATCATGGATCCCAATTCAGTCAAGTCTCCATCATCATTTAAAGCAGCCAGATAATTCAAAAGCTCTAAGGCTCTCATCAGAGTTTCAGGAGCTAAAAAAAAAAAAAAAAAAAATTTAGGTAGGCACATTAATCAAACTGCTCTGAATAAGCAAAAAAATGAGGAAGCACAGACTATTATAAGCCATCTTATTTTTTTATTCTCCATTCAACTGGCTTCCAAACACAAAATTGTTACCAAATTCAGTTATATACATCCAGATAGGAATGAGTTCGGTGGGGGGGGGGGAGGAATCACTTATTTAGAAGAGCTCTTAACAGGATCAAAAGTTTTGAAGATCACTGCTTTTCAAAATTCAGACAGCAGTGGCATTTTGAAATAGTCAGTATCATAGTAGTATCACTTTCCCCCAATGCACTGATGCGTCTTCCCTTGTTCCATACAAAATAGATTGATACAGTCCTAAAAATCTCAGCCATGTCAACTGTAGATATCTACAGCCTTTCACAAATCTAAGCCTATAAGAATATTCCTTTAATCATGCATTCCTCATACTGAGTGTGTATTAAACCCACAAAGAAAAACAGAAGGAAATCCAAAAAACCTTCCTGCTAAACTATCATATATGCTGCACAGCACAAAATACAATTGTTCTGTAGAGCTATTTAAAAGCTTGCATATTATAAATATTTTTATTTTAGGGGGAGAGAAACAACCAACTTTGATGTATTTATATATGGCTGATCTAAGTTTTTAATTAGCAACATAACTCAGTTATTTTTAAAGTATATATGAACATTTAACACTGTTAGAAGGGAGATGCACATTAACTTTATCATTTGAGCCAAAGACACGTACTCAGCTTTAAAAACGCTAGCCAATTTTATTTACACACAGTTGTTAACTGATGCACAATTAGAATGTGCAATCAAGGTGATATGTAAAAAAACCTCATCAAGTAATAGATTTTCTAATGCCTATAATTTTGTGTTATCCTCTGCAGGTAAGAGGCATTCAGTAGATTCCTTGATTCCATTAAAAGCTGTTATGCAGATAGAAACATAAAAAGCTTGCTTTGATAAGACAGAGCACTAAATTTCAGGATAAACAAGAGACATTCCTTACAGATTACAATAAAAACAATGAAAAAACCATAAAAGAATTTATCCAATGTTGGTTTTATATAAAATTTTCACCAAAATAAAGATTTCAGAAGTCAAAACATAACACAACTAGACAAGTTAAAATAGAAACACATACCTGGAGGATCCATAAAATCAAAGTGCACCAAATCATCTATACCAAGCTTCTTGAGCTGCAATACTACAGATCCTAAGTTAGACCTCAAAATTTCAGGGTATGTGTTGTCCTAGGGAGGAGGGAAAAAAGAAAGTTCAGAACACTTGTTCTTCTAAACACTTTAAACTACACAAGCATTCAAATTCTGATTTTGTTTGGTGCCTGGCATTCGACTGTCTGTATCAATTAGATGTTCTTATACACGCAATCTAGAAAAAGTAATCTTACCTGCATTTCAGTTTTGTACGCCTTTTCTGTATAAAGCCTGAAGCACTTGCCTGGTCTAGTACGACCAGCACGGCCAGCTCGCTGCTGAGCGGAAGCTTTACTAATCGCAGTAACCAAGAGAGACTCCACTCTGATACGAGGATTGTATACCTATTTGAAAATGCAATTAGAGCAGGAAAGAAGGAAAAGAATGAACACTGCTCATGCATATGACAGTTATCTAAAAAAAAAGCATAAAAACACTGCTTTAAACTTATTTTCAAACACAGCTTCTGACTAGGAAATCACAAGTTGTATGTATCTGAAAGGAGACAAAGAAATTGGCTACACAAGCCTTTGAATCAGTGACAGAAAGCTTCTATTGCAACTGCCTAGAGAAAAGCATTTACTTTTTATTCATTTGTTAACAACAACTCCTGCCAGGCTCCCTGTCCTCCTTAAATGTGTGTATTTTTAGATAAGATTTTCATGGCAGAAGGAATGTGTCCAAGTTGTTCTACAGAGTGCTAAACACACTCTTGATGCTCAAATAATTCCATTTAAAAAGTTGTCTTGATACAATTATAAGGTTGAATAATCACGTTCTAGAGGTCAGAAAAATCTAACATTAAGCTTGAACGCAACTGTAAAAATCAGACCAACAAGAAAGCAAGACTGTATTTCAAGGGTACATGCAGACTGTCACAGTACAAAACACATGCTGGAATTTACTATAAAATTCCCATTACAGTCACACAAACAGCAGCCTTGCCAACTTAATATGGCTCAAGGAAAATAATATACTGTAAAAATAAAAGCAGTAGTCAGATAGTTTCAGTTGAAGATGTTCTTTGGTCCATGTTTTAACACCTTCCTGAGGTGAACAGGAATAAAACATGCACAATAACTTTATTTTTTATTACAGAAGGTATTCTTCCAGTGTAAGAACTACTTGTGAAAAAACCTCAGCCTAAATGGTGATTGAAATTTATGTATGAAGATGCATTGACTGTACTCAGTCTGCTGCATCTCTCATTTTGCAAAAGTTTGAAAGGCTGACAATGTGTGAGTATTAAAGGAAAAGTCTAAGAAACCAAGTTATAAAGACAGTTACAGCTACTGAAAAAAATAAATGAAGATTAAGAGATTTGTACTGTTTTCTTTCTTTAGTTATTGAGTTGATTGTAGGCAAGCAACTCCAGTTCCTCTGAACATCCCATGATGTTCCAAGAAGCACAATACAAGCTTCACGACAATCTTCAGGGCTGCAACAGTACTACCCTAGGTATCACTTCTCTCTTCTCATTTTAGTGCTGGAGCTTTCTATGCTAACATGATTTAGAAGAAGAGGTGGCTTCTAGTACCATTTTTATATACTTTCGTATGATTTCTTGGTTTTACTTGAGCATTGTCAAGTACAGACACACAGTACAAAACCATCCTTCCTAAAGTACCTAGGAAATCCATATTCCAGGCCAAACTCTTAAAATCCTCATGTTTCAATTTTTTGAAAATAAAATTCTTCTGCACTGTTTTGGACTGCTCTAGATAGCTGAAGTTTACAGGCTAAGAACAAACCTACCGTAAGTTAAAAACAGAACAAAATCAAAACAACCAAGGTCAAGATTTCAACTGGGAAAAGATCTATCAATGTTTACAAAGGGAAGAGTTACCCAAGCTAACCAGATTCCAGTATTTTTCCTGCTATAACAAGAAAACAAAGTAGTACTTACCTTCTGTTTTGCAAAGCCAGGATCAATCACAAACACAACACCATCTATTGTTAGTGATGTCTCAGCAATATTAGTGGACACAACAACCTGTTGAAAAACAAAATAGTAAATGTAACTACTTTGTCCTGAAGATGAAGAGCTCTGATTTTGTCTCTGCACCAAGAGTTTTCAGCAAACTTCACTTCATCAGTAACTACCAGAGCTGTGCTCCAACACTTTTACAGGACAGTCTGAAATCAACCAGATGAACTTCTATTGAAATCAGAACAATTTTTGTCCACTGTTTCTGCTTCCTTATGTCTCTATTAACAATATAACAAGTGTTAGTTTTGAGAAAAAGAAACAGAAGAGCAAATATTTTACTTACAAAACTGCTACTCAAAATTTTACTCACATCTGGTACAAAGTGGCAAGTTACACTGGATCCCTTTAACATCATCTGTTAATTCCAGCTTTTTTAATTTTTTTTTTTAATGCCTAAACAGGGCAAACTGGTTAAGTAATATCAAATCAAAGGTTATATAACTGTACCAGCACAGTATGTTCTTTTACTTTGTTTGGAATGAAGCAGTTATCAAAACATTCCAGCTAAAATCCTGAATAATATATATTTAATTTCGACTTTGTCTTTTTAAACTACCAGCTATTCAAATATCTTTACATATTCCGAAGGAAACATTCTTAAATTTCTATAAATCTTGCTGAATGGTAAGTCTTGTGCAAAAATTAAAGCAAAGTTCAGAGGCTTGATTCTCCATCACTTAAATTTTATGTCCAGAGATGCAGTGTCAGTCTATAGATACCATTAGTATTCATCTCAATAGTGACCACATGAAATTACGTTATTAGCAAATTTAATCAACTACCTCAGAAAAGACCCAAAACCTGTTCAGCACGTCATCAAAACTACTTACCTTTCACTTCCTAATTTCAGATCATTCTGTCATCACTGTTTTCAGTTTAGCAATTAGAATTTGAGACACCGTTAACAATTTGCTGAGAATTACAATGAAGCAAGTGGCTGGACTAGATTGATAATCCTGCCGATTTCTCTTCCTCCTGGCTGATCACTTTGCCAGTCAGCTACTTATTACTATCGGCTTGTCTCTTCTTGAGTAGACTTAAGGTCTAAGCTTACCCAAATGCTACTATATATTGAAAGCAGTATTTTGGTGCAAAAAAAAATTCAGATTAATCTGGAATTACAGTCTTTCACCCTGAAATGATGTAGTACTAAGAACTCCTTAAAAAAAAAAAAATCCGGTACACCTTTCATTCACAGGTTACCTGTACAGATTAGTCAGAGATAAAAGCCAAAAACATCAATGCAATTAAGTGCTGACACAAAAAGCACAATAGTTTTTCATTTAAAAATTGCAAGTCATTAAATATGCAAATTAAACTAGCACTCCCATGTTAAAAGGCTAGTCAATCCACATTCAGCTTGCTGTTACAGTGTTTCTTATCAAAAAAGTCTCAGCTTTTTTCCAGATCTACTAGCATATGAAGCATCTATACAGAGAATCTTGAAATACCAACTACAGAGCAGTGTTCAAAAGGTTTTGGTCCTGCTTTTAATCACCAATTTCTGTAAGGGCACTTCAATACCAATAACTCAACATCGGTAGTATACTTAGTCCACAAAGGTCCATCAATTTAACTTGTACTTGAACCACACAGAAGTTTCAAAAGGCAGAAGGAAAAAAGAAGTTATTTACCCAGTGGATTCTGTTCTATGTACAGATCTCATTTGTTAATGTCACATTGCTTAAAAACAGTAATTAATGAATGTAAAAACACAAGAAATTTTAGAGAAAAACTTGAGGAAGTTACACCACATCTTTCAAGTCTAAATCAAAGTACAAAGTACCCTGGAAACAAATAAAATTAGCACTGAACTATGTAAAACAATAAATTTGTACCTTATGAGATTTAGCTGCAGTTTTGCAGTTTGCTGAAATATTTATGTTAAAAGGTTTTTAAATGTCACGTTAACAGTTTGATACACCAAAGAGTTTGAGATTAATGAAACAAGTTACTTGGAATATTAAAATCTACATATATCTATATAAAAATATCTCTATATTGCATATGTATTAACCAGCAATGCTTAAGACTCCTGAAACAAAAAACAGAACACAGTTTGGAAAAGTATAAGGTAGGAAGGAAAGGGGAGTAAAAAGGCTCCTTGTTAAACCATCTTCATCTTCCTCCAGATTATAAATACTCTGATTAGCTGTAACTAGTAAAAGCATTTGTTTAATTCTAAGCTTTCTGACAATAATAGCTGATCTTTGTCTAGCGCATCTAAGAGGACAAAAAAAGTGCTAAGTGCTATCAAGCTACGTCATTACTAGCTGTTACCATCACTACTACTGCAAGATGCCACACACCTTCCAGTATCTTACTTGCACAAAGTTAAAGCTCAAGAGATACTTATCCAGATACTGCAAGCACTTCATTTTTACAACCATTAGAGCCTTTGAAATGATTCAGACCTCCTGCTAGCTCTCTCTCCTCAGCAGTTCTAAAACTAGGTTCAATTCCCACAGGAGACTGTGGGAAAGCAGACATTTTGTAAGAGAGTGGAGGCATAGCAGCCCATGGTCCTACTTTACATATCTTGATCACTAAGACTAACTGAAACTAAAACAACATTTAAACAAATTTACAATACACACAGACACACTTTCACTCATTGCCAGATTTGCTAAGCAAATAAAAAACAAAACATGGAAGCCAGAACTTTTCAGTCAAAGCAAGCGAAGAGGAAGAGTGGCTTTTTTTAATTTTTTATTTAAACATAGTGGCTTTATAGGTCCAAATCTGTTGCTCACATATTTTGTGCCTGCTTTTGCCTACAACTGATATCTTTCCAGTATGGCATTTTTTTTGTGTAGTAAAGTAGCTGCTACACAGAGTGTATTCCTCTTACACGCAGGTACTGGCTTCATCAGTTCAACACAATGAAAGCTACACACTGCATCTGTTATCCTCTTACCAAGAAACTGCCTATTTTGTAGTGCAGTTTTAAACATGAATGAAAATGTAATGAAATACACAGCTATCACATGATCATCACTGAAAAGCAACTTCATTTGAGTCATTTGCTAACACAATCTTGTTGCAGCATTAGTTTCATGATTTCAGATTGAATGCTTCCTACAATCAACTTCAATAGGAAAAAGAGGGTCATTTCACTAAATTCATTAAGTGATTTATTCTTCCAGCACACCAGAATGTTGTCACTAGTATTCCACATGCATTGTACTGCACAAAAAAGCAAATAATCAAGGAACGAACGCTGCCTAGAGCAGATCGCATGATTCAGCTTTGACCTTCAAAATCTTTGCGATTGCTACAGTTTGATATGGTATTAGTTTAACTTGGGGAAGCTCTATTAAGACTCCTTCCAAATGTTCATTTTTAGAGAAATAACCATACCATTTCTAATGTGGTTTATGTGAGCATTCAGGAATTGAACTATTTATTTTATGAAGAATATTCACCAGTGTAATTTCAAGTTTTTTTGGCTTCTCAATCCCTTTTGCCCAATGAAAGCAGCTCAAATTCTGGCTTACTACTACAGAAAACATGGAACCTCTAACTTCAATGCACTTGTTTCAACTTGCACATTCTCATAAACCTTGACAAACAGACAAAACCTGCCTGATAACGTACTTTGAAAACATAGTCCATTTTATTTCCAAAAAGAGCATGCCTCAGAATAATTACTTTTGGAAAAAATCCCATCCCTCTGTGTAAACCATGTGGTTGTCAAATTCAGTATTTAATCTGACTTACTGTATTTCTCCTAAGAAACTTATGAATGCCACTCCCATTCAGTCAAATCAAATTGTTACTAGAAGCCAGAATTTTGAATTTTGCCATCCAGAGGGACCTTGACAGACTGGAGAGGTGGGCTCGTGCCAAACCGCATGAAGTTCAACAAGGCCAAGTG